ATTGGCTTATTTTCGTCGATCATCACGTGATGGTAAAAATTACATAGAAATTTTGTTGGCGATCCTGGGGTAGTTCTATCGAAACTGATCGTACACATGATTAATTACGTAACATCAGAATCCATCAGGGGCTAAACTCGCCATAGTGAAAACTTCAAGTATTCACTTCCAGGTTTTCGCTCTGCAGCACTCATATGAAACACCCACTATTGTCGATCATATTGTATGATGAAACACCCCACTATTAGGTCTTCCACTCCCCTCCGCTCCTCTCCGCTCCAGCCCAATTATTTGAATAAATACTATTTATTCGAATAACATGTATAACATGTAGTTATTCGGATATATTTACTTATTCGAATAAGATTTGCTTATTCGTATTCTTCGTCATATAATAATTGTTATCGCTGAAATTAATGTGCCCGATTTGTTATGATGAGTGATTAGCCAAAAGAGATAGTATTTTTTAGATTTCATGATTATTTGCGACAATTGTTTATTTTAATATTCGTCGAATAATCGAATAAGAACAACGAATACTAATTTGGATGTTAAGAGATATAAAGTGAATGATCTATTTATTATTACGAATCCACATAAAGGTTAGTAGATGCTAATTATATGAAACGCACTAACGATAACGATAATAGATAAAAAAAACAAAACCAATAATAAATAACGCATTTTATATCTCGGGTTAAATAACCAAATTATGTTAGCAACCGTAATGTTTATCAATATAAGAATTTCCGAAACCATTTTTCCGGAAAGAGATAATACCCACACCAAATTACGTTAGCGTACTATCGTTATTAAGATTTTCCGAAACACTTAACGAGTAGTAAAAATTACGCTAGCGCACCGTAACGTTTATCACGTTTATCACAACAACTGTAAGCGTTTTAAATAATATCGACTCACGCTAAATTGGCCAACATTAATCTAACATTGGTTAACCTTTTCGTTTAGGAGAATGATTTCGGATCTTAAAAAGTCAGTGAAACTCATGGCTAGGGATAGGAATCGATTTAGTCGACTAAAAAATTTATATGTAAATTACTATGTTTAGTCGATTTAGTCGACTAAATCATATAGCCGATTCCTATCCCTACAGTCTCTCATGGGAGATTTATGTAAGCATCTCGCGAAAGTTACTTGAAATGTGAGATACATTTCTGATCTACAACCTTAGCTGTAATATACGTAGAACACAACTCAGCATGATTTAATAGATCAATCACAGATTGATAGTGACAAATTTGCCGCAAGATAACGCAAGGGATAAAATCAAATGTTTTGAAAAATTTTTTATGAACATTTTACATACAATATAACCAGTATATGTATTTTATTTATTATAAAAAAGCCATGATGCAAATAATTATCTGATCCTATGATTATTAATTACCAAATCCAAAAAATTTTTTTCTTTTTTTTTTTTTAAAAAAAAAAAGATCTATATAACAAAATAAAAAAGAATCTAACTCGTTGTTACAGGTAAACCTATTACAAAAATAGTCCAGCAAAATACATTAAAAGTCCAGAACCAATAATTAAAGCACCACTAATTTCACCCTTGTTAGCTGATGAAGTTTTCTCTGGAGTAGCTGGTTGAGAAGAACTTCCACCATTTGGTGATTTTGGAGCCGAACTTGGAGATGGATTAGTCGAATTTGATGCACTTTCAAGTTTTAAGACACCCCACATACCACCCTGGCAATGTTGTAATACTCTACAGAAGTACCAGACGGTTGGTGGTGTACTGCTAGTGATGTTGAATAATACACTAGTACCAACTACATTGGTTGGAGCTTGGATTTCTGTTTATTAAATAAGAAGCTGAAGTGAGAAATTTATACTGATAAAAGCCAAAATGGATAAGAAAGATAGATATTTACCAGAATTTTGTATAGAGGTGGATTGGACACAGGTTCCAGCAGGGGCGTCTGATAGAGTAACGCTGTGCATACCATTAACCCATGTGAAATTGACCTATAGTTTTGTTAAAAGGGAAGATGACATTGAGCTAAATATATCACTTGGTCGTTTACGAAAAAACCATCAGAATACTTACACTATCACCAACTTTTAAATTTGTAATATTTTGCGGTGTAAAAGTATTTCCACCCTGACCAACCATAACTGGGTATACAGTGGTATAGGCAAAAGTAGCAAAAGAGACTAATAACAAAGCTAAAAGTAATCGTGCCATTTTTTAAAAATATAGTGGTTTTTTGGAAGAAAGATTATTTGTTTTATTTGAAGTACCAGACTATTTGTGAGGGATACCTGAGAGTTATCAGAGAATGTGGATTTTTTATTTTGTTATTTTTTTTTTGTCGAAGCAAAAGAAATTGGGCCTCCTATTTATAATAAATTTCAGACATATTCCTCGATTAATTATTAGATTTAACTATTAATAATAATATAAAAAAAGTAGTATAAAAAAAATCAAGTATCTTATTATGGTTAATTATGCTTTAAATCAGAAACATTTTTTAAGAGTACTTTCGCATATGTTGGACCATTATTTTTTATGTCCGTATGTATGTATTATTGTGATCAGAAATATCAAATAAATGATCTAGCCTTTCGGAAACTCATTTGTTGTACCATGATTTATGTCGTTATTTTGTTTTACCAAAGAGTTTTAGAATTTGAGCAAATTTCGCTACAAATATGCGATGTTTGAAACAGACCATAAATGGGAATGATCAGCCAACCGACGGCTACGTACGTACGTACTTGCTTACGCATGTCCACTACGGCCGGTGACCGTAATAGGAAATTGATCGCAATAATAGATATATGAAAATTGTTTTAGAGTAGCATGATATTACCTTGAATACTTGTTACTTTAGTCATTAAAAGTCCCGCCAAGAAGTAGGAACAAGAGCGTTTTACGATTAATAGATAAGTTAGGATTAAAACTTTAGCATGATGCAATGTGTTTACGCTGAAACAGATAGCTGCATCCAGACAAAAAGCGTGCAGGATGATATCGTTTCACAGAGAAAAAAAAAATAATCGGTGTGATATTAAAATTTCACTTTTTTGTTATAGCGTAAATTTCAATACAATACGTATTAATATCGAGTTTACAAAAAAGTAGCACCGATAAGATTGGTCTAAACCATAAAAAAGTTTATTAACTTTAATATCCATGTGGATTCCATAGCATTGGTTTAATAAGTTACATGAGAGAAAAAAAAATTAGAATGCGTACGGACTTTCTTCGTTTGGATGTAATGACAAAGAAAGCGACTTTAAGTCGTTAAATGCATTGTGTGGGCATAAATCACGCAAATGAATGTACAAGAATGTATATAACAAATATACCAAAAAAAATTAGGAAGCAACTGTCATTTACTAAGAATAGTTCTCCAAACGGATCGATCCGTTTGACCCTAAACTACATACGTTTCTATATTATAATAAGTAAATTGGGTTGACCTGTTCAGTGCATTAAAAGTTTATTAAACCTAAATTTAAAATCAGGCTTGAAAAATCTAGACTTAAAATAGGGTTAAAATGGTTTTAACAATTTTTAATATGACAAATTAAAGTTAAAAAAAGGGTTAAAAAGACATAAAAATATAATAAAACATATTGTAGGTGTGTTTTGATAGTAAAAAATCAAATTCATATTTTATTGTTCAAGAATATTTATTATATCTTTATAGTTGTATTAGAAATAAAATATTGTTAACTCATCGATTACGACAATTGCTCGGACAATACCTGACGTGATCTTCGTGTAACGTCAGACTGTAACGGCCGACGAACACTTCGGACGCCAAAATGCACGTATTATGTGAGAACGTTTCACAAATACCGCCATATGTAGTATAAAAATCTTTTTGTTAAACAATATTAACTAAAATTTGGAAAGAAAATTCTTTTTGATGGCCGAATGAGGTAAAAAAAAATCATGAGAAAAAAAATTGTACGTACGTACGTATTCATATTGTGTTGAAACTCAATGGAATATTCAAATTTAACATTTTAGAATCAACAATTACGCCAGGATACATACGTACGTACGTACCAATTACACAATATAACTGATAATGACAAGTAATATATCTTTTTTAAATTATTTCAGGAAAAAAAAATGTTTGCTTTTACAAATTTAAGAAATTTGTTCTTTATAACATAACATGAAATGGAAGTTATTGACTGAGGTAGTGAAACAGGTTTACTCAGGTTGGTTTTGCGGCTAAGTGTGATGACAATTACCAGGTATATTGGGTAATTGTTAGAAAAATGCAATGTGCTTAACTAAGAACATAACGTAATGCCACGCATCCGCAATACGTATAAAAGAATGCATAATTGATATAGTTAATTCAACTCGTAGTTAATTCAACTCGTAGTTAATTCAAATCGTAGTTAATTCAAATCGTAGTTAATTCGATTAATGGTAATAAACTCCTTTAATCAAACAAATGCAAAATGATCTCGATGACATTTACTGTATGTAAGAGGCCAAGAAAAAGAAATATTCACTTTTTTTGGATACCAAGACAGAACCACGTTTTTCGTAATTGATCGACTGTTCTAATGTTTGTAGATAAGCAAAACCTTATATGTACATATGATCGAAAGTTCTGTGTAAATAAAGGATTTCTGTTTCAGAAATGGTGTTCTAAGTTGTGAAGCGTTACAACCGTTAATGTTTGTACATGAATTTCTTTATATTCAAAACTGTAAAAGTTCTAAAAAGGTTTTGCGTAAACCTTAAATTCAAACCTAAATACGTATTTACATACGTACGTACGTACGTAGTTGGATTACAAAGAAATTGTTGATTTGAGTTTCTGTAATCATAACTCTAAAGTTGCATAATAATTTTGTTTGAAAAAATTCGGGGCGTTCCTCAATGAGCTCAACAAGAATCTGATTGGTTTGTTGATCAAACTGGCCAATTAAATTCTTTATCTAATTCATTTAGAGCCCCCTTAATCGCTACGGTTTTTAATTGGTAATAATTATTTGTAATTTGAAGACATAATCTAGCTTAAAATTTAATATTGATTTACAAAAAAAAAAAATTATTACACAACAAAATTTGTATAATTTATTAATAAAAGAAAGTATTTCATTACACCAATGTTGTTAATTGGAAGATTGGAAGGCATTGGCCTTTTAATAAATTCCAACTCCAAATGTCTTCAATCGTTAATCTGTTTATTGAAAGATGTTTTTTGATATAAATAAATGTACAAACGAAAAACGAAGTTTTTGCTAGTACAGTCAGAGATTTTACCCAAAATGGATAGCACTTTTTATAGGGATCGTCTAAAACGGAGCAGGTTTACATAGACTGTTAATTAACATGAATGTGCCTCACCTATATATAGTATGAGACTGATGATCTTTAATAACAAGATTATATATTTTCTGAACTTTGAGCAAAGGTATCTCGATAACTACTAATCTGAAATCAATAAAAAATTTTTTATTTTAATTCTATGATTTTATAAAATTAAAATAAAAAAAAACTTTTATCAATTTTAGATTGGTGGTTATCGAGATATAATTACTGTTACGGATTATCGTGAAATTTAGGGGTCTCGATTTGAAAATATAAGCCCTACTAAAATCCACCTATACTCTTTTATTAAT